TTCGCCCCACCCCCGTCATCACCTGCCCCCAAGCTCTGGTTAGGGTTAGGAATGGACATGAAATCCAGGTGGTAGGAATAAGAGAGGCTATAACATTTCTGTAGTCTCTAGGGGTCAGTGACCTGTGATCATTATCTGACCAGACGAAATCCTTCCTTAGCAAGTGTCAGGGAAAACAGCATGGTCCCTCCCAACTGAGACCATTTGTTAGCATTTATAAGTTCACATTTGTATGTATTTTAACTTCTAATTGGTTTCCTCATTTGTGCTAAGAATGCCATCTGTCCCTCTGACAGGTTTTTGGATTTGATGCTACTTACCAGGAAACCAGACCACTCAGTGTGTGTGTGTTGCAAACTGATTCCAAAGTGTCCATTCCAAACATCCCTGTTTTAGGAACTTTCCTGCAGAAGGCCACCGTGTTTGTATAGAGGTGTTCTTAGGACCATTTTTCAAATGGTAAACGCCCCTGGCTTCCACACTTTCTTAGAGCTCCGAATATAGCCTAACACACAGTCTCATTTTGATTCTGGGTCTCCCATCTGTCCTTGTGATTGTTCTGGACACCGTGCAAGAGGTCAGCATGCTCTACTGCTAGCACAAAAAGCCAGAGGGTTGGATTCACCCCGTGGCACCTCAGAAGTAAGGCCTGGCGATCTCCTTTAGAAAAATCAGCCAGGGAAATCCTTCGGGAGCACCATTCTACCCTCCCATCCTCGGAGTCCACTTTCTTGTCGGCAGCATTTGTAGATCAGACAACCGAGGCTGATGGAAGCTGACGTGTCGGTGATTGTAAGGAAATTAGACAATCAGGATGCTAAACTCCATTTCTGAACCTCAACCTGGTGCTCTAACGCTGCCATCTCCTCCGTACAGATAATCCTCCACACACATCCCCCTTTCATGAACCGGGACCCTGTGGCCAAGGGAAGCTAATGGACTCGTCTAAGATCCTCCAACAAATAGTGGAAGGACTCCTCTACAGCCACAGAGGATGATCTCCAGGGAGAGGTTCACCGGGGGCTGGACCAATGGGCTCAAACACAGCAATGGTTGAGGGTGACAGGGGACCCAGGCAACGTTTTGCTCTGCTGTCCATAGGCTCGCTGTGAGTTGGAACCAACGTGAGGGCACTCACGCATCATTTAAACAGCAGGCTCCATGGGAGCCCAGCTTGGACGGTTTGCTAAGCCCCTGCTAGAGGGTTGGGGCTAAAACAGAAAGAGGGGACTAACTTCCACCGAACCACAGAAACAACCATTACGGGCCCCAAGCCAAACCGAACTCATGGCCACGGAAATCAGCTCCAACTCATAGCGACTCCATCGGGCAGGGTGGAACTGCCCCTGTGTGTTTCTGGGGCTGTAAACGTTCACAGGAGCAGAAAGCCTCATCTCTCTCACGTAGAGCAGTTGGTGGGTTGAAACTGCTCACTTGGCCGCTGTTAGCCCAGCGCATGACCCACTACACCACCGGCAGACTCTGTAGATGCGATCTCACCGAATCCTCCCATGACATTTCTTTGTAGATAAAGCCACACTGAGGCTCAGAGTGGCTGTCTGGATTGTCTGAAGTGTCAGGGATCACTGGTATATCAGGCTTCCAAAGTTGGTCCTTTCAGCCTTTCCTGACACTAGATACGTTCGTTGGGAGATGGGGAGGTTCCCGCAGTTCAGGAACGGCTAATCTGGTTAGGAAAGTCACGCAGACACGGGAATCCGATAAGAGAGCACAGGGTAGATGTTTCCAAGCTGTCCACAGGCTGTAAAAGATTAATGGCGGGCAAGGAGTGGGGCTTGGGGAAGGGAAGTCAGGATTCCTTCAGGAAGGAGAGTCTACAGCTGAACTTTAGGAATGGGTTTTAAGATGCAAAAATAGAAGACTCTCTAGGAAAGAAGCAACTTCTGCAAGTGGGCAGATTGAGTAGGGACTGTCATTGATCACTGTAGGCACCAGAAAACGGAAAGGGTGTCCAGGCAATTCTAACAACTCCACTCAGCTGTTACTATGGGCGTGGGCAGTTAGTCCGGCGAAGTGTCACTCTTGCTGATAAAATTCCCCCAAACCAGGGGCTGTTCTCCGAGATCTAGCTATTAGGTAACCACCTGAAACATCTGGGAACAGTGGGGATTAACTCACAGCAAGCAAATTCCAGTAAAAGACCAAAGGTAGGGAGCCCAGCTCCTTCAGCATCAGTGCCAAACGGGTTGGTTGTACCTGGAGCAAGACCTGGAGTCCAAATTCCTTGTTGTTACAGTCTTGTCCAAACCCTTCTGTGTGACTAATTCAAGGTTAAGGTCTATAAAGGGGAGGCCTGTCGCCCTCCTCCTACCCCTGTGGAGCCCGGCCCTCTTCCCTACTGCATCAAGTCCTTTGGCATCAGGACAAGATTGAACAGGAGTAAAAAATATTTCTCTAATTTGTTTATTTGATAAAGTCAATACATTTCTTATTTCTCATCCCAGCTTATTTTCCATCCTATTTTCTCCCCAACTGTCTGCAGTGTACTCAAGAGAGCGATACAACTTCACAGGAGAAGGTGCTCAAGCTGCCTCCAAGGATTGAAATATCTATGTTTGAGCACAGTACGGAGCCTGTGAGACCTTGCCATTTACTCGATCAGTCATGAAATCACTGATATTAAATGAAGACAACGAACATGGGATTGTGTCCTTATCCGTTAAACTCCCCAACCCTTCCCCCAACTTTGCCAATGTCCAGTTCCCAAGTCTTAGGCTTTCGAGGCCGTATGTTTTAGCCTTGGACACATCCAACATCGGACACTTTAAATGGCTTCGGTTGACTTAGTTCTAATCCTAATGAAACCAGTTCCCCTTCTGTCCCAGCTTGGTCTCTTACAAGCCATTCTCGGCCGATGTAGCAGACTCAGTCCAGCACCAGGTGGTTCTGAAAGAATGAATACACACACCTGGAAAACAAGAGAGAACTTTGGAAATGACCTTAGACACAGACAAGTATCTTTTACTCCCTCAACAGGGTCAGCTTTACAGGGAAGCAACAAAAAACAAAAACAAAACAACCACCCTTAAAAAAAAAAACAACCCACAAAATATTAAATTTTTTCATAACTCTACTGCTTTAACATTTTGTGGATAAAGAGAAAAAAAAATCTCCCTCTACCAGTCTGATTCTATTCTCCAAAGGAAACTAAACTTGTTGCACATTCTTCCCAAATTGTTACCAGGTTTATGTAGACATATCGAAGTGCACATGTGTCCAAAATGCCAGACATACTGACCTCTCTTGTGCTTATTTCCTTTCATACTCATGAACTTTTCCAAGTAGGCACTGATAGATTTAGCGAGTAATTTTCGGTCATTGCAAATTATTTCACTGAATGACTGTTATGCGATAGTAGACCCAAGCATTCTCTTATTCATTTATAATATTCTTTACTGTATTTTCGCTGTTGAGAACTAGGCTGAAAATCACATAGGCTCAGGTAAAAGTTTGTATGTTTCTGCCACTGTTTCTTGCAGGATGGATTTTACACTTGGGGCTGGAACACCAACTAAATAGAAGCCCCACCCCCCACCCCCCTTTGGCCAACATCTTGGGCTAATCAGCTCGACCAATAAATGCTAATCTCTTTAAGATGATTTTGCATTTCTCTGACTTCTAGAGAAGTTGAGCATCTTTTCATATGCTTATTGATCATTTGCATTTCCTTTTAGAGGAATCCTCTACTCACATCCTGGATCCAGATTTCGATAGGTTTTTCTTTTTCTAATCAACTTTAGAAGCTCTTTGTATACCCTAGATCCTCTTTTGTCTCTCATATTTGGGACAAATCGTTTCAACCACTCTGTTATTTAGGGTGTGTTTTAACTTTTTACTGAAGTCAAAGATGTTGTTTTTCCTTCTTGGTTTGTAAGCTGCTTGTTTTACTTAGAAAGGACTCATATATCACTCTCTACATTTTTCTAGTCTTATTTATTTAGAACATGAAAACCTTTAATCTTGCCTTTTTGGGTCTTTTAGTTGAGTGAGGCAGGGATCTAGCTTTATTTTATTCCAATCAGTGGATCACTTATCCCTGTCAGAGAGTTGAGACTCAAAGAACTGCTCCTGAGGGTTTCTGCAACTGTACATCTTTTCAGGAGCAGCCAACGTGGTCCTTCCCCTTGGATTGGGCTAGTGGGTTTGAAGCAGCCTGACGCTTAACCCATAGTGCCACCGCAAACCCTTAGTTGAGCACAAACATTTTAAAAATGATTCAATCAGCCAAAGCTTATGCCTAGGAGAGGCTGTATGGCATTGCTGGGGACCAGTTAGCCCTGGGGTGGACCCTGCAGTTCTTGACTTTATGATCAAACAAATATCTAGGGGTGATTTTGATTTCCTACCTAGTCATGGATTGGACCCTTTAAGATCTCGGTGTTTGGTATCTTTTAGTTTTTTATTTTGTCTTTGTTTAGCTTTTCATTTTTCTTTTAGTTTTAGCTTTTTATTTTGTCGTAAAGAAGGGATTTGTAGACTAAAATAGTCTTGCCCCTCAAAAATCCTATTTATCAGGCAAATCCTGCGTATAATTTTCTCCTATCAATTGATGGTTCAATAATGGCACGGTGGCATAAGCGTTGACCTGCTAACCACAAGACCATCGGTTCCAACCCAATTGCTCCCAGGAGAAGGATGAGGCTGTCTACTCCTCTTGGTCTCCCTGTAAATACAGGGGGGGAGCGCCTTCATTCAACCTTTGTTCTGAACCTACCAGATGAGATGTTTACTGAAAATCTTCACCTTCAAGTTATCTAAAGATTCATTTAGTATGCATCTACATAGTCGGAAACCTTTCAACATTTTTAAAAGAGGAATTTGCAAGCTCCTCCACAAACAGATTAGGAAGTGGCAATCGGAGGTATCTCTACACACAAAGGCCTTTTATCATGCCCTCTGCAAACGGAGGTACCAATAAATATTTGCTGAATTTTATCATTCAGTGAACCTTTGGATTCAGACTTATCGCTTATTATTGGCTTGAATTAGGAGGAGGAGAAGATGGAGAGGCCCACAGAGGTTACAGTATTTGCTCAGAGCCATGTGTGGAGCTGGGCACTGGTTGTATTTTTCTGCTCTTTTTGGTCGGTCTTCATTGTCTGCTACATTTTGGTCCTTGACCAAGCACAAATGGTAAGGTGCCAGACACAGGATAGGATTTTTCAAATGCAGCCACCAGGTCCATCTTGGCCCATTTTAACAATCACTGTGTCATTGTGGCAACCTGGCAGGGCCAGCAGTTCGGAGTGGCCTCTTGGGCTTGAAGTCAGTTCAGAAGTGACAACTGCCTCTGCCTCTATTGGTAATCAACAGAACTATCATGGTAGAGATGGCCACCTTGGAAGGATTCATTCTGAGACCTCGGCCTTCAACCACTGTGCTGGTGTACTTACTAAGTGCTGCCTGGATGATTCCATCCTGGGCAAAAGACACAGGAACTCTCTCCTAAAGGGAACTCCAGAGCCTGGGGAGGAAGACAAAGACAGTCTCACGGGAACACAGGCATTAAGCAAGGATTCCCAGGCATTTATAATTACAAATGGAGGTAAATGCTTTGAAGGAAATCCAGTGTGCTTGGAGAGGATACAGCGGGAAGGCCTGGGATAGTTTGGGGGTTAGGGAAAAGCAGAAGAGGGAGTGTTAAAGGCTTTTGCAAGGGTGAAGTGTTTTGCATATGTGAGGGAAATAATAGTAATAATAAAGGTGCTTGTAAGGGCAGCTCTTCCTTTCAAGGGCCACTTTCTTGATTTCTGGGAACCTGCCTTGCTCCCCAGTATCTGGTAGGCACCCAAGGCCAGGGCTGACAAGGCCTTCACAAATGCTAATATTTGAGCATTTTATGAGCTGCCCCCTGACCCCTTGCATCCTCATCTTTGACTTGTTTGAATGCAGAGGTGATTGGGGGCCCGAGCGGCATTTCCAATTTGGAGAGAAAAGGGGGTTGGTGAGGAAGTCTTTTCCACCCCAATCCAGGGGCCAGCATTCCCTCCCCCTAATAATCGGAAGGAAGGCTTTTCACGGCCAAACACCACTTCACTGTGAATGTGGAAGTCACCGGGGCAACTAAAGCAGTTAGGGCGGTGGTCTCGGGGCGGGCCCCACCAGCTCACGAAGTGAGGTTGGTGGTGGTGGGATGGGAGAGGGCAGCGGTTCACTTCCCAGGAAGAATCCATCAAGATCAGGTCATGACAGCAATAGTAAGAGCTGACACTTTAGAGGAAGTTGACGGTGTCCTGGGCACTGTTCTAAACGCAAGTAGGCACCATCATGAACGCCTTTGGAAAATTAAGGAAACCGTGGCACAGAGATTCAAGTAGTGGCAGCAGTTTTGCTTTTTGCCTCCAACCATTTGGGGTTATCGCGTTTTTGTTCCGTGTATCGGTCTTTATGGGGGTGGGTGGTGGCGACCATAAGTGAACCTTTATCTGCCCGCCCCTCGACCCCATAATTCGGAGGAATCCCCTGCCCAGATTTCGAAAGGCAAATTTGGCAGCCGTGCAGACGGCCCAAGAGGTCCTTGGCTTCCTGAGCTGGGGAGGCGCCGGCTTCTTCTAGCCGAGTGGAGCGCGGGGCTGGCCCCGGGCAGCTGGGCGTCGAAGCCCAGCAGCTCCGCGTTCTGCCCGGTCTCCGCGAGGTGTCGCCTTCGGCCGAGGAAACCTCCGCGGCGCCACCCTCGTCGCCCACAGTTATTTATTTTCAAACAAGGGGGGCGCCCCTCTCCTTTTAATTTACAACTAGAAACATCTATTCTTCAATGGGCGCGTCCTCTCCCTCCCCTTTTGCTCCCTGGGTCTAGCCTTCCTCCGAGATTACCCCGGAGCAATGCCTCCGTCCCGCCGGGCTCCTCCGGGACCCGCGCTCAGCTGCAGACAAACGCAGGCAAGGCGGGGGCTGGGTGCGGAGCCGCGACGCCCTCCCACCACTCCCGGGGCCCTCCGGAAATTCCCCCCCCCCCCTCTGTGCCAAGCACTTGCCAGGCCCGCTGGGTGGGTGCTGCCCTGCACCGCTCGGCGCGCAGCTGCTTAGCAGAGTGCAGCGGGTGCAAGCCCGGGGGTCCAAAAGGGCGGGAGGCGCGCACCCCAGGCAGCCCTGCTTTGCAGCCTGCTCTCTGCAAAAGAAGAAAAGCAAGTGGCTTTTGGCGCGAAAGCCTTGGCGCCTCCCCTGATTTTTATGGAAATCAAGGGGGCGGGGTAAAGCCGCTTTCCTCCGCCGTTCTCCCTCCCCCTCGTCTGCGCCGCAGCCCCCTTCTCTCTCCGCCCCCCGGGTGTGTCAGATTTTTCAGTTAATAATATCCCCCGAGCTTCAAAGCGTAGCCAGTGACAGTCATCTGTCTGGACGCGCTGGGTGGATGCGGGGGGCTCCTGGGAACTGGGCTGGAGCCGAGCTAGCGCTAGCCAGGCGCAAGCGCGCACCGAGAACCGTCCGAGGACCACCCCCCCCCCCAGTCCACCCGGAGACCCCCGCGCAGGGCCGCCGCTGGACCCCCGGCAGCCGGTGGGAGGTAAGGAGAGGGGGTTGCCACCGCCCCGCGCCCCGGGAGCGGCGAGCGCGCAGGAAGGCAAAGCCGGGACGGGATTCCGGCCAGCGCGCTGGGCGCCCGGCTGTGCCCGGGGGACTGTTGACGCTTCCGAAACAAAATGATTGCGGGGTTTTCCCCTGGGAAGCCAAGGTCGGCGGCTGGAGAGACCCACCCCTCATCCTTGGACTGCCCTTGCCTGGAGGGTAAAGGGCTTCTTCGGAGGGAGAAATTCGTTCTTCTCAGGACTCGCTGACAGGAGCCGGTGCGTCCCCGCCCCGGCGCTGGGGTGCCCCCAGGGCGCCCCGGAGGCAGGAGAAGGGGTTCGGCAGGGCGAGGCCGCCGCGGTCTTAATCTGGGTCACGGCTGTTCCAGCTTGGAGACGCGGCTCTCCCGATTCTTCCCTCCCCTGCGCGCTGCGCCCCTACAGGATTCTCAGGAATGGGGTTCAGACCACCACCCCTTAACCGGAGGATATTGTTCGAGGCTTGGATGGGGGTTTAGGGAGCTTGCAAAGGAGCTACTGGCAAGAATATCCCGGTAGCGGTTGAATGCCGAGGGGCGTCTCTTCAAAAAAAAATTGGGGGTGGGGGTGGGTGGGGGTAGGTTCGTACATTTGGGCGCCTGTTGACCTATCTAGGGAAAGAATAGCGTTTCCATTTGCAAAGTTTCCTGAATCCTCGACTATCTTAGGAACTCCCGAGGTTGCATTAAAATAAAAAAAAATTTTTTTTAAATGTCTTTCATTCCTCCAAGGGGAAGGGAAGGGGCACTCGGAATGCTCCGCCAGGTACCTGGATTGCACGGGCGGCAGGCGCCCTTGGGAGAGTTTAGTGTGCACGGGTGCCACGGGGGGTTTTGGGTGCGAATGGGCGTTCTGCAGCCTCTACCAGCCCCCTCCCCCCCGCCAGTGCCTTGTGTGAATGAAACGGCAGTTTCCAAAGTTGCCGAGCCACGCCACCCCCCTACATCTGCATGCCCCCTCCCACCCCTGTCGTAGACAGCTTGTACACAAAAGGAGGGAGGGAGCGGGCGAGAGACAGAACTTCCTCCACCTTCCGCAGCGCCGGGCCGAGCGCGGGGCTTGCAGGGCGGCTTGAAGCCCCGGGCGAGCTCTGCAGCCCAGCTTGAGGTTCGAGGGGGGCGCTCCCCGCCCGCACCCCACTCGGCTCCGCTTGCCAACTCTCTACCGTTGTATCTGTTGGTTGCAGCGTCGGAGGTTGGAGCGGGGGGGCCCCCCGCGGGAAGGAAGCTACCCGCCGATTGAGAAGAGCGCAGTCCCGAGGCGAGCCGACGGCCGAGCTGCACGGCGGCCACCATGCCAGGGATGATCTGCAAAAACCCGGACCTCGAGTTCGACTCGCTGCAGCCCTGCTTCTACCCGGACGAAGACGACTTCTATTTCGGCGGCCCCGACTCCACACCCCCGGGGGAGGACATCTGGAAGAAGTTTGAGCTGCTGCCCACGCCCCCACTGTCGCCCAGCCGTGCCTTCCCGGAGCACAGCCCGGAGCCCCCGAACTGGGCGACGGAGATGCTGTTGCCCGAGGCCGACCTGTGGGGGAATCCGGCCGAGGAGGACGCGTTCGGCTTAGGGGGACTAGGCGGCCTCACCCCCAACCCGGTCATCCTCCAGGACTGCATGTGGAGCGGCTTCTCTGCCCGGGAGAAGCTGGAGCGCGCCGTGAGCGAGAAGCTGCAGCACGGCCGTGGGGCGGCCGCG